ACACCATTAGAGGAGCTGTGATAAAATAATTGGATAGTAACACACCATTAGAAGAACAGAGTTACAAAAGTTGGATAAAAATAATCGGATAGTAACACACCATTAGAGGAGCTGTGATAAAATAATTGGATAGTAACACACCATTAGAAGAACAGAGTTACAAAAGTTGGATAAAAGCAGTTGTATAGTAACACACCATTAGAGGAGCTGTGATAAAATAATTGGATAGTAACACACCATTAGAAGAACAGAGTTACAAAAGTTGTATTAAAGCAGTTGTATAGTAACACACCATTAGAGGAGCTGTGATAAAATAATTGGATAGTAACACACCATTAGAAGAACAGAGTTACAAAAGTTGGATAAAAGCAGTCCAAATAAAAGTTGTAAAAAAAAACTTTTCAAAAAAGGAAGTAAAATTAGGGATGGCTAATATCAATCCTTCGAAAACAATGTAGTTGGGATGGTATTTGCATCATCCCTACATAATAGCACAGGCAAGAATTACCATCTACTATCTTGTTTACATTGTTGTTGAAGGATTGATATTAGCCATCCCTACATTTACTTCCTTTTTCGAAAAGTTTTTTTATTTTATTTGTTTGCTTGTTGTTGTTTTTTAATGCAGTGTTTCAATAGACATAGGAAGGTTGTATTTATAAACATGTTCTAAATACAATGAGGTTCCAACTGTAATATTTATTGTTTATCTATTATTGGCTGGTAATTCTTGTTTCACCCTGAACTTAAGCTTTTTAAAGGAACACCAAATTTCAGTAAGAAACCTAACTTCAAGGGGTAATGATAAAATCGTTTACACCAGAATTATGATTTTTTAAATTACTAATAATACTTGTACAAGCGAATACTCCGTTTGAAACCATGTCTCCCCAATGCAATTGGTTGACACCATTGTTTTGGTTTTTGAGTTATCATGTAATAAAAAAGAACAAGAAATTCAAACTTTTTGCTATGACATTTACAGAAATTGTGACTCGGACATTAGATACTTATTGTTATAAAAGAAAACACTGTATAATTTTGTAAAGCTCTGATGACCTATTGAATAGATATTTAAAATATCATTTCGATAAACAATCCCTACATAGACAGTGTTACCGTCTGCCTGATACAATATAAGAGAGTGAGCCCAGTAACAACAGAGATCAGTTGTTACGCGTTTTAAATTCAACACTCTTCGTGTAACAGCAGAGATCAGTTGTTACATGTTTTAAATTCAACAATCTTCGTGTAACAGCAGAGATCAGTTGTTACGCGTTTTAAATTCAACACTCTTCGTGTAACAGCAGAGATCAGTTGTTACATGTTTTAAATTCAACAATCTTCGTGTAACAGCAGAGATCAGTTGTTACATGTTTTAAATTCAACAATCTTCGTGTAACAGCAGAGATCAGTTGTTACACGTTTTAAATTCAACAATCTTCGTGTAACAACAGAGATCAGTTGTTACACGTTTTAAATTCAACAATCTTAGTGTAACAGGGATCAGTTGTTACAAGTTTTAAATTCAACAAACTTAGTGTAACAGGGATCAGTTGTTACAAGTTTTAAATTCAACAAACTTCGTGTAACAGCAGGGATCAGTTGTTACATGTTTTAAATTCAACAATCTTCGTGTAACAGGGATCAGTTGTTACATGTTTTAAATTCAACAAACTTAGTTTAACAACAGGGACCAGTTGTTACACTTTTTAACTTCAACAATCGTAGTTTAACAACAGGGACCAGTTGTTACACGTTTCAAACTCGACAATATCAGACATACAGTAATTAATAATTATAACACGTTTCAAACTCAACACTCGGCTCAATAGTAATTACTAGTTGTTACTAAACAAACATAGTTAGTACTAAATGTAAAATCAATTAATGAAATATAGTTTCTATCGAAAATACGAGATAAATGATGAAACTCTTTGGACCCAGAATGTTAAACATTAAAACTATTATAATAAATCCCCCTAAATGTAAGTTTGGATCACCCACTCGATTTAATAATCAGAGTTAATCCTTCACGTGAAAGTTTCAAAATATTTTCATGATCAGAGTTAATCCTTCACGTGAAAGTTTCAAAATGCTTTCATGATCAGAGTTAATCCTTCACGTGAAAGTTTCAAAATACTTTCATGATCAGAGTTAATCTTTCACGTGAAAGTTTCAAAATGTTTTCATGATCAGTTAATCCTTCACGTGAAAGTTTCAAAAATACTTTCATGATCAGAGTTAACCCTTCACGTGAAAGTTTCAAAATGTTTTCATGATCAGTTAATCCTTCATGTGAAAGTTACAAAATACTTTCATGATCAGTTAATCCTTCACGTGAAAGTTTCAAAATACTTTCATGATCAGAGTTAATCTTTCAAGTGAAAGTTACAAAATACTTTCATGATCAGTTAATCCTTCACGTGAAAGTATCAAAATACTTTCATGATCAGAGTTAATCTTTCACGTGAAAGTTACAAAATACTTTCATGATCAGTTAATCCTTCACGTGAAAGTATCAAAAT